AAGCTGATCAAGGTATGATCTTGGCTTTATTCTGCATGTATGCTAAATTCTCTGGATATATTTACATCCTAGGTGTAGAGGATATATCTGAATAATTTGCCCCCTATGGTACTGAGAATGCTCATATCCTTCCAGAGTGGAGTTGATTCACCGAGTTATGGTGCTGCTATTGATGATGAGAGTGATAATGTTGATACTGAGAATGCTCATATCCTCCAGAGTGGAGTTGATTCACCAAGTCATGGTGCTGCTATTGATGATGAGAGTGATGATGCTGATAGCATCCAGGATAATGATCAAAGTGCTGGAGAGCAGGGTACATTGACATTCCCAGACTTGGAGTATGATATTCTGGATGATTCACCCAGCCATAATGCTGCTGTTGATGATGAGAGTGATGATGCTGATAGCAACCAGGATGATCCAGCCAGCTATGGTGCTGATGCTGACTTGGATGATGAGAATCCTCATATACTCCACAGTAATAGTACTGTTGCCAACTATCCTCCTATTCAAAGGGACCTGCAAGCAAAACTCTTAGATGGATACAAGTGTCCAGTTGTTCCCCCATCCTCTGTTTCAGAGCCAAGCAGCCTAACAGATTTAGAGATCCACAGCCTCAAACACTACATTGCATGGAAGAAATCAAATGGTACTGTCAAGGCACATGAACTGCATGCACAGGTATTACAACAAGCTACTCAGTTAGACATACTGTCACTATATGCTGTTCGCAAGCTGGCCAGATCTCTGGCCAAGGTTGAGCCTGTAAAGATTGATATGTGCCCAAGGAGCTGTATTGCATATACAGGGGACTTCAAGGACTTGAAACCTTGTCCTCACACTATAAAGGGCCGGATTGCATGTGGAGAGAAGCGCTACACTGCTGGATCTAAACCTAAGCCCAGAGCACAAATGCTATATGTATCTTTTATCTCAATCATTCAAGCAATGTTTGCAAACAAGCAATCATCACAACTCCTGTGATACAGAGATAGATACTTACAAGAAACACTAAAGTTACTTGCAGTTGGATCTCAAAGTTCTGGGGTGCAGGCTCAACCAAGATATTCTGACTTCCTCAGTGGAAGTGTTCATGAACATCACTACAAAAACATGGGGTTGTTTCAGGATGAACGTGACATTGCTTTTGCACTATCTACTGATGGTGCTCAGCTTACTATGAAGAAACAGTCTGATACTTGGATATTAATTCTGATATTGCTCAACCTCCCTCCAGAATTGAGGTACCTTTCTAACAATATCATATTAACTATGGCCATTCCAGGACCCCAAAGTCCAGGAAATATTGAATCATTTGTGTATCCCCTTTTTCAAGATGCAGCAAAATGCAGTCAAGGCATATGGATGTGGGATGCTATAAATTCCTCCTACTTCATAAACTGCATGTACATGTCTATGATACTGGGAGATATGTTAGGCTCAGCAAAATTAAATGGAATGGCTGGACATACTGCAAATTATGGTGATAGATTTGTTTTAATCAAAGGGGCCAGATCCAGTCTTGAAAAAGGTGCTAAGGCTCAGTACTATCCATTATCACCACCAGAAAACCAGAAGTATAACAGTGAGCGCCCCACATACAACCTGGACAATTTGCCAATGCATACTGAAGAGCACTATTGGAGTACAATCAATCAACTCAATGATACTACAGTCAAAAATCTTTGTGCTAAAATCACAAGAGAAACAGGAATTTCTCGCATGCCTCTAGCAGCAGCAAGCCCAGCATTTATTCATCCTTCTTTTTTCTCAATTGATCCTTTTCATTTACTTTTTGAGAATATTGTTGCATTTATATGGGATTTGTGGACAATCCATAGCTCACAATCTGAACCCATCCACCTCAGCACACAAAGGGCAGAAATGTTTGGTAAACTAGTTGCTTCAGGAATATCAACTCTGCCACCCTCTTTTTGTGGCCCAGTTTGTGATCCCCACTTGAAAAGGCAAAGTCATCACAAAATTTATGAGTGGATGGCATTATTGTATTGGTATATAATACCAATTGGCATTGAGCTAGGGATGAACTCCTCAGTGCTTCAGAACTTCTCCCATCTCATGGCTATAATTGAATTTGCTATGACTATCAAAGCAAGAAGCACTGAAGATTTGACTAATCTCCACCAGCTCATCAAAGTATTCTTAACTGATTTTGAAAGAATCTATGTTGGAATACATCCTGAGAAGATTTCAAGGTTTCGATTATGTATTTTCCAGTTGATCCATGTTCCTGTGCATATTGAGTGGTATGGATCACTTCGCCTTGGCTCTCAAGCTACTGTGGAAAGGACTATTGGAGAAATTGGGCACAAGATCCGTTCCAAAAAAGCACCTTTTGCAAATTTAGCTAATCTCATCTATGAGAAAGAAGTCATAAAAGCTCTCCTCTCCTACTACCCCGAATTGCAGACTGAGCTAGGAACCAAGAAAATGGCCTTATTTTTTTCCAAGGTTCCAATCAGAAAACGTGAATATAAACCTGGTCAAAGTTTTTTTATTCATATACAGGCTATCTTGTCCTGGAAGAAAAGTTCCTTTGATCCAAATATGCCGGTCACAAAGTGGGGGAAAATGCATGTGAGCAAAAAAAATGTCTTGAACACCCAGATAAGTGAACTACATGGACACCCTCCTTCAAGGTCACATTGTTACTTTTGTAAGGACCATTTCATTATTTTCTTATCTTTGCTATGTCTTGGTTCTCGAACGCTTTTCCCGTTACACCTCTGGCTCTAGGGCTAGAGGTATCCTTTGCCGTTCTACTTCTCATAGCCCTCACAGGCTTTCTTAACCATCGCTACCATTTTATATCACAGATCAGAGACTGGGTATCGCTCCCAACCAGCCAGCACACTGGGTAAGGACTGGTAGTAGACATCTCGCCAACCAGCTCCAAGCCCCGGTAAAGCCTGGTTATACTAATAAACACCTTATTCAGGATCGTACCTCATTATGAGGATACGGTTCCTGAACACGCGTGACAATCCTCTATTATTAGTACAAATCTCTCACCTGCTGATTAATCAAGTTAAAAGTCGTACAATAGTTACTCTCCCTTTTTCTTATTGGTCGATTGATTCCTCAGACCACTTTTCGTATATTCTCCTTTCGGTCTGAGGAACGAACAGTTCACTATATAAAGCCTTACCTATTCATGTATGGCTCCTTAGTTTTCTATTACTGAATTTACCCGCTTTACTCCTCAACAAGAACCTTTGAAGCTTACCTCTCAAAGTCCTCTACTCGCTATATTTACTAGCGTCTGTCGACCTCAAGCTCATTGAACCCCTTACTCCCTGCAAGTGCAGAAGGAGACAGGTTTCGTTTTTGTTATAGTTTATTGTTGCCTCACAACTTTGAAGGAAATGATGCAAATTTGGTCCCAATCTTTGGTGAAGCAATTGCATTCTATGAAATTGAAGGACTTGAAGGGAATACACAGCAATTTGTTGTATATCATCCCCTTGTGGATGTTCATTGTAATCTAAATGTGTGGAGAGGAAAATGGGCCAAAGATATTAAAGTTCTTCCTATTTCTTCTATAGTTGACATTGTTGGGATTTGGTGTTACAACAGTAGGGTATATGTGCTTCGAAAACATCCAGGGCTTGAGTGGCTGACTGAAGAAGAGCTTGAGAAACAGAAGGAAGGTACACAAGTTGAGGACTAGTAAGTAGAACCATTTGTACAAATGTTGTATTATAAATGTTATTTTGTCACAATTTATGCCATTGCTTTTCCTGAGTGTAAGTTCAAAGTAATGTGCAGCATTGAGACTTAGTGAATTCACATAAGGAGTAGCCTTTGCACCAAAATATGACTATGGTATGACTATACTTGACTGTACAACATTATATGTGACTACGTTTCAGTCTCAATTTCCAAGTTTATTTTCAATGTTGTCAACTCTGTGACTATGTGGGACTATGCTGGACTAGACTTTGACTTTGCGTGACTATGCTATGACTATCTGTGACTACACATGACTCTATGTGACTGAGCGTTTTTACTGAGGGTAACACTGTAAGTGATCTGAAGACTCACAGAGCCTAATAAGCAAATGTCTGATTCCAGGGAGAATGCAGACGAAAGGACACCTCTGTTACAACAAGCCCCCTTAACTCTTACTCGAAACAGCAAACCAGCGATACTTCCCGTGGTACGCCATATAGGCTCTCAAGGCTCCCATGACAGTCATTTCTCCGATCTCTATCCCTACTCGGACACACTAGAACCTGAATCGACGCGGGTTGCCTTCAATCTAGTCGTTCTACTTCATGTCTTTATTTCTGAACAAACCCAAGGAGGCACGAAAGGCGATATCTGGGATGAGTGGTCTCAACAAAAAGGTGCCGCGGACTCTGCAGGACAGTTGGGACATCGCATCCTACGCATCTGGGCCCAGTTTCTGGAAACCTACCGAAGTGCAAAGGATGTAGAAGCGTCGTTGTGGACTAAATTTCCTATGGAAGAAGGAAGTTCACTTTGTGTTTGCGGCATGTCTTGTCAACTGTTTGACAGCTTTTATAAGGAGCTGACACCGTTATACGTAGTTATCGATCTTCTGTGCGATCCACAAGCTCCCGAAGCACTCTTGTCGCATCCTATCATCGAGCTCAGCATCTTAAGGACTTGGAAATATGGCCTCTGTGCAGACTCACCATCTGCTACTTCTACATTCGAACGTCTGGTGCATCGCTTTAGGTCATTATCAACACCTAGGTTCGTGCAAATAATCATATTGTATTCGACGTACTTGCGACCCCAATTCATTTTCAGAGCAATACATCTGGTTGATCTGATCAGTAGAACAGCTTTCATCATCGTGCTTGCCCAGTATCTCCTCTATCCTCCAGCGATATTCTATATTTCCCTAGGTACTAGTGCTCAAGGCCCCCGAGAGGTCTTCCTTACCATCATGTCCGCTGCTCTTCTATTTCGTTCTCCGTCTATTCGTACTATACCCTCCCTTCTAATTTTCTTAGCCTTCATCTTAACCTTGCCCTCTGTCCCTTCTCCTGGTGACTCCTCATTTGCCATCATGCAGATGGCTTTCATATCCCATGTTCTCCTCCTCCTCCATTCCTCGGAAATACCTAGTCCCCTCTTCCTGTGCTTCATAAAGCAGAGCTTGCCAATGGCCACTCTCCTCTTCCACGGACTCACTCGGATATTCTTCCCTTTTGTCCTATTCTACCTCCCCGCTCTCATCATCTCCACCTTCCTCCTCTCCATTTCTCTGGCCGACACCTTCTTTGCGGGATACACCACTCTCTCCTTCCAGCCCACGCCCGTGGACACGCGGTTTGCCTTTTTTTGTTTATTTATCTTGGAACCGCTCTTGCTCATCGCATCGCTGGGGATGGCCGCCGCCACATTCCACTCCTCCGCCTCTTCAGCCAACGACCTGAAAGGATGGGACCGGTACTCCAAACCCATCGGTCTCACCGCGCGCAGAAGCCTCCTCCGCGCCGCCCGAAGCTACGCCGCCCCCTACACCTTTCCGCCCCCTCTCAATCTCGTCCACATCCTCGCCATCCGACTCCCGCGCGTCATGCTGTATCTCTTCGGGCAGGAACACTCGGTTGTCTATGCTGCGATGGGGTGGATGGAGAGGTGGCTTTGGGGGAGCTGTGTTGGCACGTTGGCGGTGCTGGTTTCGGGACTGTGGTTGTGGGGCCTGGTGTAGACGTGTTTGATGGTGGTAGGTTTGTGTTATCTTACCGTCGTGCAGCGTACTAGGTAGCGCGTCCCGTGGGATGTGCTTACCGCTTTCCCCGTCACTTGTAATTCTTCTGGGGGATCGTGAATGTAATTGAACTTGACACATGCCCAATCGATAATTCATTAAGCGTGTGCTAAACTCAACCATGTATTGGCGTCAAGTTAACAAGCCGAAATGATGGGTCATCGACCTCTTTCAATAAAGATGCTTCGTATTTTTCGCTTCCCCGTGTAACCTAAAATCGACCTTCTAAAGCAGCAAAGCATGTGCGTAGGATTATATCAATATGAAGTAATACAACTGCGGCTTCGCTCGACTCGGGCGAACTATCTGCGGTTGCGTATTCTACGATCTCTGCAAAATAAAAAAAATAGCGGATCTCCAAGATGTTCCAATGACCAAGCGACTGAATTGCAAGCCCCCAAGAATGCCGCAAACTGAAGCGTTGAGCCCAAACGCAGTTCCAAGGTATCATCGTCGTTCATCTCGTCGCACCCGAGAGAAACCGTGCAGGCTTCAAGAGCTGCATCGCGAGCCCACACACCAAGAGGAGCGCCTGATAGAAGAGACCGTTAAAAAAGCCACGCAAAAAATAAATAGAAGACTGACAGCTGAACACCACCACACGACTTCAGGAGAACTGCCCAGCGTGAGATTGTATATTCCAAAGAGAATTGGACTGCGCAGAGCGAGAACGGCGGATTCGATGATGGAGAGTGCGGCGAGGACTCGGCCGAGCTCTGAAGGTGGGCTTGCGAGCGTCGTGAGCGTCTGGAGCGAGGGTACGGCTGGTGCGCCCAAGGAACCGATCGCCACAGCTACGTGAATTTATATCGAGTTAGACGCCGCCGAAAAGATCAAATTTTCGACTCACCTATAGATACTTGAGTAGGCGACTTGCTCACTGAGACCAAGAGCATGCCCAAGGTATCGATGAGGAAGCAGACGCGACAAATTAACAATTCTTGCTTTGCAGACAGTTTTCGGGCCTTTTGAGCGCGCAAAGTGTCTTCGATAGATACATCCGCAGACGGCGCATTCGACGCGTCAGCGTTCGCATCGTTAGATACTTCAGCCCTAGGGCTATCTTCCGTCGACTCCCGGGTGCCAAACAACGGTTCGGATTGGGCGACATCCAATTGGACAGAATCCTCACTAACCACGCGACGATAGAGTACCTTGACGAGGGGCAGGATGCAGAGGACGGAAAAGGCACGTGAGACGGACATTGTCGCGGAAATCACACCAGCCTGTACACACAGCGATACGCTCAGTCAGCGCCAGTCAGCAGCGGATAGCAGAGTACTTGCCTCGCTGGGAATCAAGCCAAACATGCGGTCAGACCATACTATGAGGACGATGAAGGCACCAGTAGCAAGCATCATCATAAAGTCTACCAAGCCGAGGAGGCGGAGGGTGGGTTTTGAGGCGATGATGTAGAGGGGCTCGAGGAGTAGCTTTGCGGCACGTTCTGAGACTGCCTTTACTGCGGAGGATATGCGCGTTGTGGTGGTGGATTGAGAAGGTAATTGAGGAGCAACTGGCTGTGTGGTATGTACATGTTCGAGGACGCGGTGTTCCTTCTTTGGCTCACGTATGACGATGGTGAGATAGAGGAGATGGATGATCCAGGCGGCTAAACCGACGCTGAAAGTGGCAACATAATGGCCGCCATCTACGAGTACGCCACTGATCAAGGGAGCGACTGCGGCTGCGGCCATGGACATGACGAGGATGAGACCGAGGTAGAAGGAACGGTTTTGCACGGAAGAGTTTTCTGCTATGATTGCCATTTCAGCTGCCTTCATGACAGAGTAGCTTCCACCGAGGCCCTTTATGACTGCGGCAAAGTATATGAAAATGGGGCGCCTCAAGGGAGCGAAGCCAGCTGAAAAGGGGGTGAAAAGGGGAATGATGAGAGAAGAGAGAGAGCGTACCACAGAGAAGCAGCCAAATTTCACCGAGAGTGGTGATGGCAGCTGCGATGGCAATGACGAGTTTCCTACTCTTTGCGTCTGATAGCCTTGCGTATGGACTGGATACGAGGATTGCTAGGAGACTGAGGAGGCCCATGTAGATTGCGAGATCAGTGGTGTATTTTTTCTGGGAGAAAGATGAGACTAGTTGGTTGAGGACGGGAGAGACATACTTGGACAGCGGGGAGTCGACATATGTCGTCGTTGTGATCATAGTCTGGAAGAGAGATCTGGAGACGGTACTCGTCGCATCTGATCTGGCGAAAGAGATATGTGCCGGGTAGCTCGAAGAGCTCGATGGAGAACGCCTGGAGAAAGACAAGGGGAAGGATGAGGAGTGGGTTTTGGGTGGCCATGGTGGACGGGCGAGAGCATGAGGGACAGTAGATGTACGTGAACAGACAAGGCTAGCCAAATGGGGAATGACGTAATGAATTGTCGGAAGTAAAGAATCGACGTTCGATCGGATCTGGCTTGTTCGGGTGCGAGAGTGTTCTTAAAGGTTGGTCGATGTGGCTGAGTGGAGACACGGGATGATCTCACGCCAGCTGGCCACCGCTGCACTCGCTGCCGTTCTGCTGCGGTCTCTTGCTGTGCTGCTCAAGAAGTATGTGCTCGATCCCCTGCGCGATCCCCTCGCTCGCCTTCAGCGTCCCCGTGCTGCTTGGTTCCAAGGTCAATTCCGATTACTCACAGAGTTCGTCTCTCCCCTTCCTCCCATCTGTCCACCTAACAGCCAGTCTCTAGTCCGGCTCACAGCGCTCGACTCCTCGACAACTGGAAAAAGCTCTATGGTCCCACCTTTGTCTACCAAAAGTCAGGTCGCGTGCGTCTACTCTCTCTTCCCCCCTCTCTCTCTCCTCCTCACCTCTCCATCAGCATGACCTTCGTCTCATCACCCTCGACTTCACCGCTGTCTCTCATGTCCTCACCGAACCCTCCCTGTTCGGAAAGCCCGACTTGAACCGTTCCCTCTTCGCACACCCAGACGTCGTTCACCCCAGCTTCACCAACTTTGCGTCCCCCATGCTCAACCGCAAACTCATCACTCCCGCCTTCTCAGGAAGATCCCTCATGGCCATGTCTTCCATCTTCTTCCAGCGCGCAGAGGACCTCCGTGACTCTTGGCTCGCTGACATAGACCGTTCCCCAACAGCTGCACACGGTACTATGACCCTCGACGTCATACCCCCCATCATTCAGACCACTTTCGAAGTCGTCAGCAACGCCTGCTTTGACACCCAGTCAAATCGCGGCGACAACTCAGAAAACGGAAAGTCCGACGCTGCAGACCATCAGAAACTCTTCCGTGCCCTTCATCACTTGGCAGAACCCATCTCTACAGACCACCTCACTTGGCGTCGCAGGTTCACCTCCCTCATCCCCAACGGTGACCTCCTCTTCGTAAGTCTTTCACTTCTCCATTCTTAACCATCTCAACTCCCATTTACAGCCCTCAGACGCCATCAATCTCATGAACTCCATGCTCGAGGATGTCGCTGAAATCGGCCTCAAGCTCATCCAAAGCAAAAAACAGGCCATCATCGCTGAAGCAAACGCAGGCATGGGAGAATCACAGGTCAAACCTTTGTTAAATCTCCTAGGTCAGTACACTCCTCTTCCCCTCAACTCAAATGCTTATTCTCTACATAGTCAAATCAAACATGGCAGCAGAACCTACTAAACGCTTGTCCGAGCTTGAAATTCTCGACCAGGTCGGAGGTATCATGATCGCAGGCGGTGACACCGTCGGCGTCGCTCTCTCATGGACCCTCCACCTTCTGTCCATTCACCCAGAGATACAATCCCAACTGCGCGAACAGCTACTTGACATCCCTCACAACGCATCCGAAGTTAGCTTACTCAACACCCTCAGCGAGGTTCCCCTCCTCGACGCCGTCCTCAAAGAAGCGCTTCGCGTGTGTCCCCCCGTACACGGGTTAGTCCGCGGTGCCCTCGAGGATACCATGATCCCTCTTAGCGAACCTATCATGGTAGGCGGCAAGGAAACGAGACACGTCGAGATCCGCAAGGGTTCCGTCGTCCACATCCCCATCGAGGGTCTCAACTTGAGCGAAGACCTCTGGGGCCCAGACGCCGCCGAGTTCAGGCCCCAGCGTTGGCTAGACTGCGCGGGCGCAAGTCCGATGGTGGGCGGTATGAGAAATCCGGGTCTGGAAAGGGTGATGAGCTTCTCGTTTGGTGCGTTCGCGTGCCAGGGATACCGTATGGCGATGCACGAAGCGAAAGTCGTGCTTGATGTCCTCCTTCGCGCCTTTGTCTTCCGTCCGGCGGAAGGTATCGAGATTGGAAAGTGCCAGACGCTGTTTACGATGCCCAATGTGACCGGAACGCAGGGTCCGCGGTTACCGCTGGTGGTGGAGAAGTACGAGTGATGGACAAAAGCACTCGCCGTCTTCGCGACGGGAAGCGAGGAGGTTAGAGCGAGGGCCAGATGGCTTGTTAATTACCCAAGTCGGAGCCATACTGTTGTTATGGGCAGTGTTAATATAAGATTTAGATTTAGTGCTCAGAATCTTGGAGTTAATATTTTTCCACATTTGAGACAATTATAATGCATGGGGTGTGACTCTTGCATAAGAGCACCCACCTCCACTTTCAACTTGCAAATCAAAATCCATCATGTCTTTCATGCCCATCTCTGATGCAGACACGACGCCGCTCGTGCTCATCCACGACATCTCAGGCTCGATATTCCCCTACGCGTCTCTAAGCATGCTCCCCCCACTCGAAAAGCACACCATCTCGGGCATCTCCGCCGCCCCCTTCCAAAAGCCCGACTCCATTCACGCCTGGGCACACACCTACGCCGCGCTCATCGCCGACAGCCTCCCACCCCCGCCATCATCATCAACGTCCACGACCGCAACAAAACCCACTGGCAGCCCCCGCACGCAAGTCGTCCTAGGCGGCTGGTCACTCGGGGGCCTGCTCGCAGCCGAGATCGCGCGCATATTCGAGGGAACGCAGGAATACGCGCACATCGCCGTGCTCGGCGTCGTCCTGCTCGACTCGCACGCGCCATGGCACGTCCACACGCGAGACATGACATCGGGGGCGCAGAACGCGGCGGCCAATGGCTCCGAGCTGCTCGCGAACGGAACGCCCTACCTCTCGCCGGGGGATATCCAGGCCGTGTACGCCCTGCTGGCGCGGAGCACGCGTGCGGAGTGGCCGGGCCTAGACGGCGTGCGCTGTCCGTACTGGCTAATCACGCCGACGCAGGACGGCGCGAATGGGATGGAGGAGTGGTTTGGGGAGGACAGGGCGGGAGAGGTGGTGAGGATTGCGGAGGGCGAGGAGGGGTGCGATCATTTTTCGATGATGGAGGATGACTGGATCGAGCAGGTGGGCGAGGCGCTTGCGAAGGTGTTGGATAAGGTCGTGCTGTGAAAACATTATGATGTGCTTTAACATCCACTTTGTATGTACTGAAACTCTATCAGTCCAAGGTCTTTGCTCATGTAGACGATAACGTTCTGTATAGATGACCATCTGTCTCGCACAAAAAACAAGTTTGGATAAAATAAGTTATGGGCAAAGAAATCTCATTACTAGTATGATTAGTCTAATCTGGTGCTATTCTTGTTAACGGATCCGGAGATTTCAAGGCTTTAGTCCTGGAGCTCGAGGCTCACCTGTCCATATCGTGTCCATAGAGCAAGATAAATTACATTCCTTGTCACATTCCAGAAGATATACCGATACAAGTGTACCTTTTCTAGAGCCAGGATCAGGTGCTGTGCATGTTTGATCGGAGGAGGAATAACACCGTTTCAATTGATTAGGTGACTCTTCATGGAATCACAGAGCTTTCAAGTTCCCCGTCTCGTCATCCCAGCTTCGCCGCGGCAGCGCCTGAATAATTAAATGTAGAAGCTACCTGGTGCAGCGTACTCGCCGCTTTTGCTCATCCATCATAACTCGGGTTTCCCCCTCTTAGATTCTACGCGTGTTCAAACCCGATAACCCACAGCCGTCACCACCAGCCTCCCACACGCACATACGTATCCCAAGTCAATCTTACGTGGAGTCATCTACTCGCGGCAGAGATTGCGGACACAATCGAAGCGGTGGGCAAGTTCATGCATATCGCAGTACCCGGCATCATACTCTTCACATGCTCCATGGCACGTCCACTCGCCAAGTAGATCCGAGTTGCTCGCGAAGGGAGGAGCTCGATAGTTTCTCGTACCAGCCAAATCAGTAACATGCTGGCGTGGACCACACGTGCAGTGGGGCAGGGGGTGGGCGAGGCCCTTGCAAACGTCATGTTGCATGAGATTGCACTCAAGAACGACATGTACCCAATCTTATACGTATGTACTGTCAATTCCTCCGTAGCGCTTTTGCTCATGATCGTCCCGAACTTTAGACGATAACCAACATTCTTGTAATAGATGTTTCAGATCCAAAATATAAATAGGTTCACAAGTTCACAATCCTCGTGGCTGAGCGTTGAGTTTTGGACAAGATAATTTGACTGTTGATATCAATATGGTTAGTCTAGTACAGGGTCGATTCCGTTGTTTTCGCCTATGGAAATTTCAAGGCGTTATCCTGAAGGTCATGAGCATCTGAACCGCGTATCGATTATCAAGTGGGGGAAAACACGTTGCTAATCAGATTTCAGAAGATACTAATGTGTGACAGCTGTCCCCGTGCTAGTCGGTTGACACTGTGAATGTATGTGGTCGACACCGGAGGAGAAATAGTTCTGCTTCGACTGATCCAGTAGCTCGTCGTGGAATCACAGAGCTTCCCTGTCGCTTTATTCGGTTCGCAGGACTTAAATATCGAAAGGTATTCAAGGCCATTGTAGTCATTTCCCTCGACTATTCAGTGATCGCCATCATGGCTCTCCAAGACCACTCCTCCCCGCCTTTTATCGTTATCGACGGCGTCCACAACTTTCGTATGATAGGTCAACCCTTTATCAACATTAAACCAAACATCATCTTTCGGAGTGGTGATCCCATAGGTATCACAGAGGAGGGGAGAAAAGAGTTGGTGGACCGACTCAAAATTAAAACCATCGTCGACATGCGTTTAGAACGCCCGCCCGTCGAGCACAACATTGATGGTACCCAGTGGCTGTTCGTTTCTTCTGAGGAGCAACAGACGAGAAAGGAGGTGCAGCTGATCGAGTCATGGATGCAGCAGTTAGAGCTAGCAGAACAGCAGCTGGAATTGTGGGTGCAGGAGGCGGAGCTGTATTTGGAGAAGGAGAAGGAAGAGGATGGAGAGCAACTGGAGAAGCTGAAGCAGCAGGAGATAGAGCTGGAGAAGCAACTGGCAGATCTGGAGAAGCAGCTAGACGAGGAACAGTCGAAACCAGAGCAGTGGAGTCAAGCATTCCCCCCTAAACTCAACTTGGACAATTTCCAAGAGGATGCGAAAAAAGTTAGTTATGCCCAATTGAGCAGAATATACATCTCACAAGTAACTTCGGATAGGAATTCATCAAAACGTACACCGAGGCACTGAAAGAAAACAAAAGTGCCTTCGAACTTTTCTTCAAACATATCAAGAACAATCCCGGTCAGCCAGTCCTAGTCCACTGCTCCGGTGAGTTCAATTTCTATCCAAACAACACTCTTATAACGCAACTTCAAATTCAGCCGGAAAGGACAGGACAGGGTTAGCGATAGCTCTACTTCTTATGGTACGGCGGTCTCTGTCTCTCGACTCTGTTCACGATAAGTCTCATACCTTCCCAACTTTAGACCCTCGGTGTGGATGATAAAGCCATCGCTCATGATTACGCGTTATCGAGCATTGGCATCAAGCCTATTTCTCCAAAGATGAAGGAACAGCTCAAAGCACGTTTCGAGGCTAGTGGTCGTGGATACAATCCACAAGGGATGGAGAACTTCCTTGATGTAAAGTGAGTTATGCGTCAGTCCCAAATAGGGGCATATAAGTGGGCCACGATACTCATCATCTGTTCAAGGGATGAGATCATGCTTGCGGTACTGGAGGCAGTGAGGGTTGCCTTCGACGGAATAGAGAACTATTTGAAGACATATTTGAATTTGACAGCCGAAGATATAGAGATAATCCGTGGGAGCTTGGCTGTAAACTGATTTCTTGTACATCTTGTATTCACCCAGATACTAGTCTACTAGTCTCGTAGCAATGTAACATCTGACCTTTGGTGCGAATGAAAGACTGTAAAGGCTATCTAAACGAAATTCTCAAATTAGGTCGTTAAAGAGGCGTTGGGTTTAACAAGTTGATCCGACCCATGAGGACGAAGCTTCGATCCCAAACTCTATATTGATGTTCACCATCGCCTGAGACTATGGGTAGAGAGAATTTGCGGGAGCTTGATTTTGAACAGATTACATAGGTATCAGTCGCAAGGCAATGCATTAAAACAGTCTCCTGAATCAGATATTCAAAAGAACTTGAAGCTGCTGGTATTCACAATCACCATAAGAAGGCGGCGGCTACACCAAATTGTGGTCTGTTCCAATGTCTCGCGGGAAGCTTTGATGCTTCTGCCGTTCTGTGCATAGAGACACTCTGCATCGAAAATGGTGCACCTTGGAACGTCTGACTGGAGGTATCATTTTCGTATGACTGAACATAATTATTGTATTACCCAAGCTTTCTGTCGACTGTCTCGCTGTGGATAAACTCATTGGACTCATTGTGGTTTCCGAAAACAAACACATGATCTGCGTTGTTGTTCCTTTAATATGTCACCTTTTGATCAACTAACCAACAATCGAAGATCGTCTCGATCATCGATTACTCGCCAACCCAATCGTTGCGATCGAAAGAGATCATGGCGAGCTGTCAAGACACCGGCCTATCTCTGACTCAACAACCCATCCGTAAGCAACGTGAATGAAGTGATACCAGGACATCGATAAAGTAGCCAGCTGAATTTCAAAGACTTTGTAGAAAGCGACAAAACATGACATTGCGTAATATATGAAGTTAGTGTGACATTAGCGAGATCGTACGTGAACATCATATACTCGAATCGTAACATAGAAAACTCATCCCTTGACTTCTATTATTGTCAAGGTTTTTACTCGTGAGGGATTTTAGTTCACATATCCACCTCCGCTACCAGTCGCGTAGCCATTACCCGATCCGTTCGTGTTGCCATTGGCATACCCGTTCCCGTGACCGTTAGCTTTGGCCACACCACCGTTGGGAATAGGAGCAGGTTCAACTTCGCCTTCCAAAATGTCAACCAAGAGTTGTGAGAATGCAGGAGTATCCCATGCGTGGTAGATCTTAGCAACTTCCGTTCCGATCGTCGTGCTATCCCTGCTTGGGTGGCCCCAGTGCAAGTTGACACCAAGTGTCTCGCGCACAAACGCGTACAACATCCTAGTGCGACCAAGGAGAGAAAGACCAGAGTCAGCAGATCCAGGGACAAAGTTGTCACGGATCTCGTTGAAGAGGCTGTGACCATGTTTAGCGATGGCAACTCGCCATTGGTCGATAGCGGAGAGACGGATGTCGGCCGCCAGGAACGTTGGCTGGCGCAATAAAGTGGCGGTGAGCTCCGACGTGACAAACTCGAAACGAGGTAGGGAGTCTTGGTCAGTCGAAGTGTTGAGGAGAATCTTGGTGCGATCGATGAGAGGGCGCATGAATTCGGCGTCAATGGTGACAGTGGGGAAATGTGCGATAGCCTCGGCTTCAATAGCAGCGAAGAAGACCTTCCTGAAGGAAGTCTCCATGGCGCGAAGGTCCACAGCTTGGCAGAGGGCGAATACGTGCGTCGACATCAACTGCAATGAAAATATATATTAGTACCAGCAAACATCTAGGCGATATAGAAATCTATTGACCATCTTTGTAAGTCTGGCAACCTCCAATGTGTAGCGAGCGCTAACGAGGGCCATAGAGTTGATGGACCTGGTTAATGAATAGAATTAATGAGTATACAACCATTGCGCCAAGAGAGAGACACTGACTGGTTGTGCATCTCTGCAGAGTTGACATGGGTGCTGACGGGGTTAGACAGATATGCGATTTCTGTACGGCAGAGACGTTAGTGAGGGGCAGAGGAAGCAAGAGGGAGGGCTTACCAGAAAGATATGCGGCAGCAGCAACATCCACACCCTTCAGACTGTAGTCAACACTAGGCTCTCCAACAGCAAGATTAGGTGGGAGACCGCAGTTCATGGTGTGGTTCAACAAGTCAGTAAGCTGGGCAAACATCAACTTGGCTGGATTCATAATCGAAGCATGAGCCAAATGACAGAAGCACTATATTGAGATGTGACTGACCGATGTGGTGGACAGAGAGTCTCATTTTTTCGGTAGCCTGTGAGTAGGGGATTACACGTGCAATTAACGATGAAGTAGTTAGGTGAACTAACCGAAGTGACAGCCATAGCCATGAAGTTAGCACCGTGGTGCAGGAAGTCACCGTCGAGGTCAACGATAGGGTTGTCAGTGGTTGAGTTCAACTCAATCTCCATGGTCTTCTGAGCTGAAAGGATGTCCTCGAGCTGGGGACCGAGCCACTGGGGCGAGGCACGAAGGCAGTATCGATCCTGACGAAGTTTCATTTCCGGATCCGACTCGACGTGGTGAGTGCGAGCGAGGTTAGAGGAAAGGAGGACACGACGGATGTTAGCAGCCACCTCGATCTGTCCAGGGTGAGGGCGAGTTTGCTCATGCAGGTATGGGTTGAATGGCTCCTGGAAACCTTTGAGGACCTCAACAGCTATATACAAATACAATTAAGTCAAGAATACATAGATCGATGAGTGAATGCTTACCAAACGCAGTCAAGACTTGAGAGGCAACAGCAGCGATATGGCACTCGTGCACTGCGATAGTGGCTACTGCAGCGGAAGCGCCAGTCCCGTTGATGAGAGACAAACCCTCCTTTGCGATCAGCTCAATGGGCTTCATGTCGACATTTTTCAGGACTGTCGCAGAGTTGTACAACTTACGGTCCGCACTATTGGGAGCAGTGAGTGAGTCGAGAGCAGTCAGTTATTCCTGAAGGGAGACTCACCCTTCACCGTGCCATGCATAAATGTCCTCGTGACCAGTAAGAACGCTTGCGATGTAAGCCAGAGGGCCAAGATCTCCGGACGCGCTCACAGACTGACGTAGAGGTACACATGGTGCGATATTGTGGGTCAAGAATTTGTGAAGGTGATCAATAACGATCCATCGCGTGCCAGATTGAGCCCGAATGAGCGAGTTGAGTCGGACAAGAATGACACCACGTATCCACTCTTGAGGGAACATCAAATCATGTTCCTCGGGTGTGAGCGTCTTGCCCTCGGTGATAACAGGCAGGATACCGGCTTGGCAATGTGCTAGAAGCGATTTTTGAAGGAGGGCAGTTTGCTTCGTGCGGGTGGTGGCTTAAAAATATGTAAACCTTCGTCAAAGCCTGGTCATGCATTCACCTAAATGCGTATTGAGCTTACCACTTCCTCCGAAACCGGTGGTCACACCGTACTGGCTCTGCTCGCCTCCCGAGAGTTTTGCGACCAATGCAACAGCAGCTGCAATGGTGTTTTTCTTGTTATCCGATGAGTCAAGCTTGGGCTGGTGGACTTGGCTGGTTGATTATAGATAATCAGCACCATGGAATGTGTGGATGAACGATATAGGAACATACCGTGCAACGGCGATCACAGAAGGAACATCTAAACTGTAGCCATCAATGAACACCTGTTTTTCTGATCCAGAAACAAGATCGCGGATGGAAGAAAGTTGCTGGGAGATACAAGCAAGGTGAGCCATTGTTTTAAGTGTAGGAAAGAAGTGGGAAAAATAGCAAGTGAGGGGATGTGAGATGCTGAGTGTTCAAACTAGAACGACGATGAAAATATTTATATGCCCGGGACTGTTAGTTGGTGATCATATCTGGATGCCATCGAGTGATAGTACGTACTCCAGTCTGCTCTGCCTGCCTGTTCGCTCCAAGTTGTCTGTTTCCCGGCGAAGAAGTCCTGACTTTACGCGACTCTTCTCGTGTTCATTGTTCTTTGAAGGCCCAGTCACTGGTCTGTCGCGACTCACGGCGTATGCATTGTCGACAGATTCAATTATCACACCATCGAATGAGCACGTTCAGGCGAGAACGAAGCGAAGACGAAGCGAAAGAGACTTTATGGACCGGGCAATGCGATGGGCTTGGGGCTGTGATGGGAGTTTCCCTGAATTTACCAGTCTTCCTTCCCATTGGTCTCCCTTGCAACATGTCTACTGTCATATGTTGGATGAGGTCAGCATAAAGCCATGTTGGGAGTGATCTGAACGCAATTGCCGTGTCATGGGCGCGGAGCGAAGTCTCCAGTTCCCTCATCACCCTGACCTAAATCCATGATGCTGAGACGAGCCAGGCTTCTGTGTTAATAGAAGTCCTTACATAATTATATACGCTCGAGAGCGTCACTCCAGGAAACAACAAAATGCCGACCTTTCTCCCATTTCTATCATCAAACTCAAGTTGAAGCTTGCCAGCCAGTGAGAATCATGACTACGGGTCACAGAGCCGAATAGAAGACGTTCGTACGATTATCCCCGTATGGTTACGTCAGTCCTGTCAAACTTTGAGCGTTATGAGTCGCAATTATTGCAAGCTGCAGCGTTTGTTCGGAAAATGTCATCCCCGCCTATTGTCCTTGAATCCATAATGGCGGGCTTTTGTATCAGGGCTTCCTTCTACGTCTACCATCAAGTAAGCTTGCAGCGGTAGGGAGTAATGGAAGGACTATCGCCACCCAACCAGTAGGCGTTGAGTCAGACTCGAGCGTAAACACACTTGAAAAATTGAAAAAAAAACCATGCGGCTGCTATCAACGGCAATTTTTGATCGACTGTACCCAGTCAAATTTTCTCAGTAGTAACGGCAGCAGAGAGAAGGCACAAATATTATATTAATGTTACGAGCTCCCAAAGCGAGTTACACCCATGTTAAATTCAAACGCAGCGCAAGTTGCACTGAGCCGAACGTTCAAACGTTTAAACTCAGTCGCGGCATCAGACAGGCAGTGAAAGTTAGCCATTTGACGTTCAAGGTAACTCCAATCATGTGGTTCGGCGTTATATACATCATCATACTAGTTTGTGTTAGATATTAAATGCCGCCATCTGTGATCATTGGAAAACGAAAGAGTTTGGAACCAGCGATAGCATCACTTTGAATGCTCACCACCTTGGTCTGCCGAATAAGTATTCACTGTAAACGGAAAGTAACCGATGGATGGATGATAGCATCACATTACAATGTTTTCAGCCCATCAGCTGTAACCCGAACTATGTGGCATTACAGTTACCGAGAACATTATTCATGGTTCTTATTATATGCGTGTAAACAGGGCAATGGTATTCGGGCTACGAAGGTGGGCATAAGGGAACAACGAGAAAACTGTGAGATATTATTAGAGCAGTGATCAGTGCAATGCTAGCGACGCGAGTACAGTGCGAGTAAGGAGCGTGAGGTTTATGAGGCATTCCACAATTTCGACAACAAATGACGTTTTGAGGGGAGACGAAAGAAAAAAACGGCCAACGATTCCAATTACTTCTTTTCCAACGGCTTGACTTTTAAGAAGAAACTTGACACAACTGCGAATGCGACCAACACAACAGACAGCCACATTGCAGCGTGGACACCGTCAGCATATGAGTTCCGCACGATAGCCTGTGTCTTGGGTTCGAGCTTGTTGATGTACGACAGTGATTCAACCACGCGACGAACGAGCTTTTTGTGGAAGCAGATATGATATAAATGCATGAAACAGCTTGAAGGGGGGGAACCTCTCATACCTTGTCAATATCAGTAGATCCTTGAAGATGCTCACGTAACGATTTGCGGAGGGTATACTGCATGATAGTACTGCCCAAAGAGACACCCGCGAGCGACCCCAAAGATCGGAAGAGATATGACACTTTCGTCAAACATAAATTAGATACGTCCTTCCATGTCAATAATGGAAGTCATACCAGCGGTAGCAGTTGCCTTGTCCTGTTGGCCGGCGTTCGCAAGAAGCGCAACAAGACCCGCAGAGATCCCAGCACCTGTGAGATGTTAATTAAAATTAATCATGCAATGGAGCACATGGCAACATGACATACCACCACCCAGACGCGAGAAAACCAAGCCTAAAGTTTCGATGCTTCGCTTAGCGGGTATCTCCACAAGGGAATATGACGAGAGTCGACATACCAAAGATGATTCCAACGGCTGAGAACGCGAGAATACCGGTTGCGAGTGTGATCACAGCGGAGCCGAGACACATCGCCGTGTATGATGTCACTATTAACCAGTAGTACTTTCCGGTACGCTGGATAGTGTACCCGCCAATGAGACTGCCCCCAACACCACCCAGGACACTCGGCAATAGCCACAGACCGACCATACTAGGAGTAGTCTGACGTACAGCTTGCAGATAGAGAGGCAACTGAAAAATCATCGTCATCATCGACGCAGTGCTGAAGAAGTTGATTGAGTAAGAGGCAACGAGTGCACGGGACGTCATGATCCTTTTGGGTGCAAAGGGCTCGGAGGCCCAGTACCATTCGACGACCAAGAAAAGTACTCCAAAGACAGCTGCGACCACAAACGACGCGATGGTGACGTCCGAGCTCCAGGAATCAGTGCTACCTCTATCAAAGGCAAGAAGGAGGGCGAAAACGGCAACGATCAATGTGGAGGCTCCCAAGAAGTCGATACGCTTGAGTTTGCCAAAGAAGGTACTTGAAGTGGAGGAAAGTGTCTGGGCAGGCAAATGGAGAGCGAACGACACGATCAAAACTGCAAGCATGGTGATGGGAACCTGAATTAGGAAAGACCTATGTGGAATGAGTGACGTTTTTGGAGCAATGCAGCGTATAGTTTCTTTACCATCTCCACCCGATTGTGTCAGCAAGTATACCACCTAAGGGAGCACCAGCCGACGAACCGACTGCGAACATGATGCTTTGTAAACCTTGAAGAAAGCTTTGTAAGGGTGATTCTCAAGAATGAACACAGGACTGACCTTGCCAAGTACCTCTTTTCCTGAGGGGAACAACATCTGACATGATGATTGAGCCAACGCTATTGGAGGAATCCTCTTAGGTTTAGATATAGTGAGAATGAGAAGCACCTACGTTGAGATACCACTTCCACCCATTCCAGCAAAAGCCCTTGCAGCGATGAGTTCATTCATGCTTCTTGCCATGCCACAGAACAAAGCGCCCAATGCAAAGAGTGTATAGGCAGCGATAAGACATGTTTTCCGGCCAAAGATGTCGCTCAGTTTTCCATACAAAGGCCTGGGATTTGGAATTGGGGGAGGAGCGACAAGAAAGAGAACATAGAAGTACGTACTGGAAGCTGGTCAGGGTGAGGATGTAACCGGTGGCGACCCAGCTGGTCTTCTGGAGTTGGTTGAAGTCGGATCCAATCGCTGCGTAAGAAGAAACGATAATGGTGCCATCCATTGCGACTAGGAATACACCGATTGACATGGGGAGAATCTGAAGGAGTGGATCAATGAGAGAAAAGAGGAAGGCATAACAGTCGAAGAAGAGCTTACGATTGCAGCGAGTTGCAGAGGTGTCCTTTCGAGGATGGGTTGCTCCTCATCGGGGGTAGGCTGAGATTGGTGGTCAGGATTGAGCTCATTGTTCCCATCGGGGAGAAGGGGTGTGCGTTCGTTGGCTGGCGCCATTTCAAGTTTCTCGCTGCAAAAAGGGAAAGGAGAATGGTAAGGTAAGAGGGGAAAGGGTGGGAGAGACAAGAAAGGTACTTGGTGGATGGACAGAAGTGATGGAGTTGAAACACGGAAGGGTGTCAGAAGAAATGTTACATACTGAGGGACGCGAACAAGACTTACAGTACGCAAGAAGGAGCGCGACTTGATTAAAAGATCGATCTGCACAGCCACACGGCAGTCCGTGTGAGTCGCAGATTTGAACCTTCTCGGTTCTGGGCACCGCACGGGTGATAGACTTACTTCTAACTTACTAACAAAACATAACGCGAACTGGCGCGTACTGGCATTCGTTCTCGACGTGATGCAGTTGAAAAAACACTTTCAAATATATTGGCACACGACCGAATAACACCCTATAATTGTGGCACACGACCCATTGTTAACTTTACTTTCCAGTCATATTCTCAACTCCCCCTACGATAATGATCCCTCCTCACAACACTGCTCACTTTGACACCTACTGGCGCCCGCTGCTCAAAGACTTCTCCAAGGTGGCCCTCGGTGAAGACGCGACGTCCCGACTTTTTGACACCTCTTGCCACCTGTCCTTGTCGGCCAGCAGCACCGTGCTTGACCCCACGCGCCTTCGACAAGCAGCTCTCATAGCTTGGTCCTTTGTTCTTTCTCGCCATGCTGGCGTAGACGATGTCATCGTCGCCGAACGTGAGCTTTCTCTAACTTGTGCGACCCACACGACTGATAAATCCATTCCATATAGTATGCAAGACAAATCATGTGGTCGCGCTTGTTCCCCGGCGTGTCCAGTTGGCGTCAGCTGCCGCTCCTTGCGATCAGATACTCAGTCAGATAGAGTATCGCGCTCCCTTTGCATGGGAGCGCGCCGATGAACTCGGTCTGAGTGGTGTATACGGCTTTATTGAGACATCTTGCTCAGAATCCATCCCTGCACAAAGTCTGCCTCTACGAAAGGACGACAGTGCTCTTCATCTTTCTGTCTTGTTCTCACCAGCCTCATCGGCTATCTCGCTCTCTCTTGCATTCAGTTCTTCCTCTTTCCACAAAAATGACGCTCGGTATATCTTACAGCATCTCTCGTTCGCTCTTCACCAGCTCCTCGACGATCCTGCAATATTATGCGACGATATCGAGATGATGTCCCCACAGGAACATCAATTCACAAAATGTCTTCCCTCTCTCGTGGACGTCAACGGTCTTACGCACCCAGAAGACCCCACTCGTTATTCTTTTGCACAAGACCTCCTCAGGCGTCAAGTCATTTCACGCCCAGAGTCCGTGGCCATTGTTTGGCAGGGTGAACCACTGTACACCTACGCGTCTCTCGACTCGGCCTCGACCAAGCTCGCGTACTATCTCACCAAAAATCACGCCATCGGTCCCGGTGACGTCGTCGTCATCTTCTCAGAGCACTCGCCATTCGTCATAGTCGCCATGTATGCGCTCTTAAAAGCTGGCGCAGCTTACCTCCCTATTGACGTCGAAGCACCGGACGCGATCATACGACATGCAGTCAACATGGTTGACTCCAAGCTGTTGCTCACTCTCGACAGTTTGCACCCAAAACTCGCTGCTCTGTCTCTAGAGCGCTCCATTGTTTCGCTCGATAAAGAGGAACAGCTCTGGCTTGGCGTCCCTCAGGAACATCTGGATCAGTATAGACCTGTTCTAGGAGACCCTCATACTACTTTGGCATATGTGAATCTCACGAGTGGATCTACCGGCCTGCCAAAGGGGTGCATGATCTCACATTCAAACTTGGTAAATTGGATCGTCGAAGCTACTCCCGGATACGGACGTACTTCAGAGACCCGAACTCTCCAGGTAGAGTGCTCCACCTTCCATATTCTTTTCAATAACGCTCAGATACTACTTTTGACGACAGATATGCAAGCTCCAATTTGATGGGATCACGGAAGAGATCTTCATGACACTGTATCAGGGAGGAACGTTGTGCATGGCTCCTCCCCAAGCAATCGAAGCAAACCTTAAGGATGTGGTCAATAGCATGCAAGTGACGATGCTGACGTTGACGCCAACAAGGGCGTCCTTACTTGATCCAGCCGAACTCCCTTCTTTGTCGGTTTTGGTGATGACCGGGGAACCACTCAGGCACCATGCTCGCGAACGTGAGTTCGTGTATCACAGCAACTTCCTTTCACTCTAACTTGCTCTCATATTTAGGATGGATCGAGGCAGGGAAGACAGTGTGTAACGCTTTTGGGCCCACCGAAACTATCTGTTGCTTCATGTTAGAAAATCCAGTGCGCTCTTCTGAGTCGAACGAGACACCCTGTGGACTTACACTGAACAAAACTACACGGGTCTACTGTCTGAACCCCTCTCTTGAATCCGTTCCTGTCGGATGTGTAGGCGAGATTTGCATTTCGGGGCCAACTGTGGGCATGGGCTATTTTGGGAATGTAGAAAAATCACAGGAAGCATATGTCACAGATCCTTTCAGAAAAGAGTACAGGATGTACAGAACAGGAGACCTGGGCCGGTAAGCGCGTTTTGACAGATATATTCACTGCTTCGCTTAGTAACACATCCAATGGCAGTCTGAACCACGAAGGTCGCCTTTTGTTCGTAGGACGCCGTGATCAACAAATTAAACTCAACGGAAATCGCATAGAGCTAGGTCCGTATTAAGATCACGACATCATCCCCACATGTTCATTCATTAATCATGATTATTTCCTTTTTTATTTATCTTATCAACCTAGGTGGGATTGAAGCAGTCCTTCAGGCTGGCCAAAGCACGTGGTCAACATGTGCAGATATCGTCACCTTCCGTGGTAGCTCTCGTCTCGCCGCGTTCCTCGCGCTCAAAAGTGTCATCGGCTCGCACCATGACATGTCCCTTGCTCTGACATCCGACAGTAAGCTCGAGGCCGCGCGCCTGTCCGAGTTCTGCGCCACAAAGCTGCACAAGTCAATGGTCCCCACGCTGTGGATCCCAGTGGAAGCGTTCCCGCACACCATTTCTGGGAAGTTGAACCGCAAGGCCATCAAGCAATTCTTCCACGAGCTCTCGGAGGAAGATACAGACGCTGTCGGAGACTTGCTCGTCACCCGCGCAGAGATCGTGCAGCCCACTTCAAGTGTCGAGAAGGAGCTCCAGGCCATATGGTCTTCGTGCTTGAAAGTCCCCCTCCACCGCGTTGGCATCCATAATTCCCTCTTTGATCTTGGAGCCGACTCTCTCGGTACGCTTCGATTGGCAGCTATACTTGGAAAGGCTGGGTTCCGTGTGACGCCTATTGAGCTTCGAAAGCTCCAGACCATCGCCCAAGTTGCATTGGCCCTCACGAGCCAGAGCTCTGAACCGGCTCGTGTCGTTGCCCGACCGTTGCCGTTGTTGTCTATCAAGAGTGCAGCAATGGATAACGAATTGAGGCTCCACGGGATAGCCATTGACGATGTGGACGCCGTCATTCCAGCCACCCCATTCCAGAAAGGTGTCCTTTTGCATCCTACCGATACGCAGGACGGCTTCATGTCCACCATGCACTTCGCTATCACCCAAAACATTGATCGCGAGAAATTCGTGGAGGTTCTGGACAGCTTGAAGGCAAGGCACCCGATTCTCCGCACTGCGTTCTTGATGACGGCCGCCCATTCCATTGTCCAAGTAGTGCTCAAACAAGGGCCTTCTGTTACTGTTGTCAAAGGAGACCATTTCGACCCGGTTGCGGGGTATCAATGGGGAAGAGTCGCTTTCAACTTTACGCTTGTGTGCAACTCGGAAGGTCCCTCAGAGCTGATCATTGTCGCGCATCATGCATTGTTTGACGGATGGAGGTATGTGTTGATACAACATCTTCTGGGTAATTGAAATTCTGACACCAGATCTACTTTAGTATACGCCTGTTATTGAGCGACTTGATGAAAGAATATTCGGGACATTTGACTCTCAGACCTTCTTGGCATAATTTCGTCGCGTATGCCGGCGCTGCGGATACCGAGGCATCTATCGCGTTTTGGAGAGAATATCTGCAAGGGGTCCAACCTACCAAATTCTGCAAGCCCAAGTCTCTACCAGACAGTGGGGTCGGGTCTGTGTCGCGTAGCTTCGACATCGACTTGGCACAGTCGTCGCAGAAGCTGCAGGTGATGGATAGTGTTTTGATGGACGCTGCGTGGAGCTTTGTACAATTCTTGCACAGCAACGACGAGGATGTCGTCTTCAACCTCATTTCCTCTGGTCGTGATGTACCGGTGGAGGGTGTTATGGACATGATAGGCCCCTGTCTCACTCATTATCCCTTGAGAATCAACTTCTCCAAGATCACGACCATCAAGGCCCTCGTTGAAGCTGTTCAAGATGTACTGTTTACTACCCATGGCCATGGCATTGTAGGGACGGGCGCGATCGTCAAGGCATCTGGAAGCTCAACTAGAGCTGCTCTATCTAACGTCGACTTCGTATTCCAAGCTATTGATTCAGTCTTTGAAATCTCGCAGGAGGAGATGTGGATACATCACAAGGTGTCCAACCTTGACTCTGCAACGCCATTGACAATTCAAGTCCAAACTTCTCCTGGCCACGCTGGTTTCAAGGTCTCGGCCTCACATGATCGATCTGCTGTCTCCAGTGAAGAGGTCGCGTGTATGCTGGACCGTTTCGGACAGTTTGTTAAGCTGGCATTGACACAGCCAGAGACAGAGTTGGCGGCCGCCAACTTCATGATTTCGGGAGAGATCGAGCAAGTCATAATGAAAAATCCTGACGCTGGCTTGCAGTCTTTGGCATTGGTGATGTTCACTTCCCACGTCCGCGAACGGCCCCACGATCTTGCTGTAGAGATGGATCGCGACACATCCTTGACTTACTTCGAATTGGACGCCCATTCATCTGCTTATGCGTCAAAACTCCTTTCTATGCGACTTGATCGCGATAAACCCGTTTTAGTTCATCTCGAGAAAGGTCTTGCGCTTGTGGTAACGGTATTGGCCTGCTTCAAAGCTGGTGTCTGGTGAGTACGATCGGCGACGACCAATTCTGAGAGCGTTGCTTACTTCTTCACGCAGTTTTTGTATGATCTCTCCAGACTGTCCCACAGGGCGGATGCAAATCATCATAGAAGATATCAAGCCGCAGCTCGTTATATCACCAAAGCCTGCCGCTAATTATCCTGTACCAGTGCTGTCTCCAGTGTCTGTGGGTCGCATTTGTTCATACTACGCATCACCATACAAGCCACCGCTTTTCCCTGGTTCGCTTGCATGGATCATGATGACGTCTGGAACAACGGGAAGGCCAAAGCCGATTGGCTTTAGCCGCTCGAACCTGGATGCTTTTACGAGTGGGGACCATTCTCACAGAGAAAGGCGTCGTTGCCTGAATTTTGCGTCGGTTCACTTCGATGCATCAATGGAGGATTTCTTCACGACTTTGACCCAAGGCGGCTGTCTTTGCCTAGCTTCCGATGCAAGTTTGCGGGAGGACCTTCCTGGCGTTATCCGGCGCATGCGTATTCAAGTTGCTTCGCTTACACCAACGGTGGCCAAGCTCCTCATAGGAGAACAATTTGAGACGCTAGAGACTTTGATGTTGGGTGGCGAAGCCTACTCTCCACAACTTCGCGACTGCCTTCTGGCTACTGGTATCTCTAAGCTTCAGTCAGGCTACGGGCCGTCGGAGTGTACAGTGAAGTGCTTCATGGACGTCATGGCACCTGGCATTCCCTTCTACCGACCAACGACCTTGGGTAAAGTATTCGGTCACAACGCTGTTGTCGTTTTGGATGATAAGCTCCGACCTGTTCCTTTCGGGGCAGCAGGCGAGCTTTTCATTAGCGGCCCCCAGGTTTCCACAGGTTATGTTGGACAACCTGACAAGACTGCACAGGCCTTCGTTACAATTGACCTTCCTCGAGGGAATCAGACGCGATGGTATCGATCAGGCGATATGGTACGCCTACTTCCCACTCGCACTGTGGAATTCCTCGGCAGAAAAGACCGACAAGTGAAGATTCGTGGCCAACGCATTGAACTTTCCGACATTGAGACCTGCATCCTCGAGGTTTGCCCGTCGATCGCTCAAGCTGCTGTCATTCCTGTAACCGATGCAACGGAAGCGCAAATCCTGGTCTCTTTCGTCGTCATGAAAGGTGACGCGTGGTTGAATGTCTCAGAGGTGTTGGGGCGTCTTCGCCACCGAACTGTTGTGACGCCAACTGAGATTATCATTGTTCATCGTCTACCGATCAATGCCTCGGGAAAACTTGACGTACCCAGCCTGCAGAATCTCTATACAGAGCATCAAAAGCGCAGTCGTGCAGAGACCCCTCCGAACGAGACCTGTGCCGCCGCACCAGAAGAACCCAAGCCCTGCTCGTCTCTTTCGACGCACGAGACATTGGTTCGAACTCTCTGGGCGGGTGTGTTAAACATTGACGAGTCAGCGATTGGTATAGATGACTCGTTCTCTGACGTTGGTGGTGAGTTGAGCTTGTCAGTACGAGCATAGGATCTTTCTAACGTATGAATTTAGGAGACTCGTTCAAATGGATGCAGCTCTCACAAGCTTTCGTTCGGGCCAAAATTAGAACCGCTTTGAAGAATTTGATTGCGGCGGGGACTGTTCGCAACCAGGCGCTGTTGATTCCCAAATGATAGACTGTACTTAATAATAACACTCACGAGTGGCGCTCCTTTATTTTTTAGTAGCAGTTATCCGTTTTTAGATTTTATCAAAATTTCCATAATGATGTGTTAATAAATGTCTTTGCTTGCTTTGTGATTAGTGCCTAGTTTAATACATGAAATCAGCTCGTAAGTAAGTTCCGGCGAATGTTTTCAATGTCGGTGATTCCCAAAGATGTATGCGTCGTCAAATAGTTCTCTGCTCCACCGAATTGTTCGCGCACCACAGCCAGTGTTGCCCTCATCGTCTCAGCCCTAAAGCAAATAATGAATTGTTGAGACATAGTAAAAAAAAAACCAAGCTATGATCGAGGCTTGCTCACTTTGCACTCAGGAAGTTCATCAACCCTTTATGATTTTCGCGATACGCCTGGCTACGATTTTGGAACTTTGCTACCAACATCGGCAGCGCAGCCTGTAGTCCAATACTCGAGAGAGCGTAATCGTCAATGATGTCTTCATCGTTAACACCTAGGATCTACGAGGATGGGGAGCTTACACCTATGACATACAGAGTGAGAGAGGTCGCCATACCATCAAAAGCAGAGCAATTGCTATCCCAGTCCTGTTCTTTCCGGCTGAGTTGAAAGTAGTTATACAAGTGCGCAGAAGGAAGGAAGGAAAGGACTCACCCGAGCATTGGACTAGAACTGGTTCGGTGGGTTTGTCTCTGAGATGTGCGAAGAAAAGCTCGAAGACAGGTCCCGCTCCTTTCAGTACACCGGTGTATGCGGCGACGAATGCCTAATTATTTATTAGCACATTTACACTTTCTCGAGCGGGCATAACTGACTTGCAACGGGTCCGTTTCATAGCCTCTGAGCCTGATGAGAGTAGGTTGTCAGTTGGTGTATACAGAAAAGCAGTAGAGAGCGTCACTTCTCCGTAGTCTTCAAAGGATCTTCAGCGCTTTTCTCCTCCTGAGGAACCGAGACCCATTGGACGTCCTTGATGCCAAGAACAAGGTCAGGGTCACGGTCTGAGCGCAGGTCAATGACGGTTGTGATTCCGAGTTCGCGAAGCTGATTTTTCCCTCTCTCTGTTATTTTCATGGGGTCACCGCCACGATAGATGAGAGCTGGCTTGATGTTGACACTGGGAGATCGAGCAAAGGTGCCTATGGTGCGGACATTGTCGATGCCCTCGATAACGACAAAGGGTGGGGGTAAAGAGAGAGGGTCTGCGGAATGAGTCATGAGCGTCGAGTGATAATAGCAGAGGGAATATGGACGGGCATTGGAGAGCTTTCGATATTTAGATATACATACTGCGAACCGAACAAGGCAATCTAGTCATCCGATTTCCGATTTCGGGAATGGTGTTGGTGCACCGCTTTACAGTTTGATCGATAGACCGCAGATTATTGCCGTCTCTCTCGACAGTAATATACAACGGGAACAATCGGCTGACAACGTTCGCATCCGCTGCTCTTCTTTTCCATCTAGCAAAGTACATTATTTCCTTGACTCTCTGCACCTGCTGCGACTGCTTGCAGTTAGTCTATTACCTTTTTTTAATCCTCCCCTAATATTAGGTATTCAACTCCATCGGGCCAAGAACCTTTGACGCAATTGTTTATCTAGGAACTGGATGAAGTCACATTACAGCATCTCTGTCGCTCTTTAGCGGCGTTGCTTTCTGGACTGTGGCTGTGGGGCCTGAGGCCAGAGGTTTTCGATTTTGGTGCGAGCTCAAGTTCACTCTCATCACGATCTTCTCGGCCATTGTAGATATGGTTAAACCAGTCCATGTTCAATGCCCAAATATGGATGGACTTCAAGTTGGCTAGTCCAAGCAACATTACCATTAACACTTTGAAGAACTGGCTGAGTCAGACAGATTTGTTGGAGATGCATTCAAACCAATTCTACTGTACTATTTTGAACTGTATGGAACACATATTGCATTAGGGCTTGAACTGAACTCTATGGGCTGATTTGGGCAGGATCACACCCAGGGTTTTCAATTAGCTGAAGATGCTGGTCTCAAGCTTTCCAATATGCCAAATGTCTATTTTTACCTAAAATACCTGAAATGCTGGCTGGCCTGCAGAGGGTTGTGGAGGGGATGACAGAGGAGGACCATTGTGAAATGAGGATTACCCTACAATCACAAAGCTGATTCTTATCATTATTTGTACATAGTTAGTGTGTAGAAATGAGCTGACTTCTATTCTCTCATTTGTCCAAAGCTGAATGCAAGCAACTGTTCTCACAATACACATTTTTGGACTTTCTTCATTCTCAGATTTGTTTGAACTTTCATGCCACACAGCACTTTCCTTAATCTACTCCACAGGATAACATCATCAGCCACCACTAATAGATAACTGTACAGTATATACACGTAGCTACAAATAATATACAATACATACCTGCTTAGTGTATATATACCTGTCACAACTGTGACCTTTGGAGTAGTTGGAGTTTTGGAGGATGGAGGTATGCTGGGGGAGTGGAACAAGGTACAAGGTTGGGAGTTGGCTTAGCTTGTGCGCTAGGCACTTTGCGGCCCTTGGTCCCTAACTTAATGTTGGAATACATGACAATGAGTCTTGCTACATTACAAATATATATAAATAGTTGTTAATTTCCTGTTTTGTAATTACTTCTTCCTGTCATTGATGATGTAGTTAGAAAACCACACACAAAAACAAACTAACACACAATTTTCCCAGATTCCACAGAACTTGTGTATGGGCTTTGCCTCCTAGAATAGTGGGTGCTCTGGTTGTGGGTTTTGAGGAGGAGGGATAGTTGGAATATAGAAGATAGGAGCTTTGTGAAAAGTATGTATAGCACAAGGTAGGTTTGAGAACAACGAGGTGACAAGGTGACAAGGTTCCCAGTGATAGCATGCTCCTGACACACAGACTGTAGTGCTCAGAAGGACTCTAATTAGAAGGGATGACAATGACTTTCAAAAGTGACAAGTGACGATGACAGCAGTTAACAGTAGTAGCAGTGGAAAGTGTTGTGACCACACTGGATCACAAGTAGCAGAAAGTAGTGATTTTGAGATTAGAGAAGAAGTCTGGATTGGATTTGTTGTTTTTACAAGGTAAAATACAGGGGTTTATATAATAAAAGAAAGGTAGGCTATACACAGTATTGACAAAACCGGATAAACCCGGTCTCTGCCAAAGCAGCCATTGTTCTCCATGGAGCATAGCCATCACTCCATGGAGTCACCATTGTTCTCTTAGGAGCACAATTGTACTCCTAGGAGTCATTATACTGTAGCGAGTAGCACCTCCGACTATAAGTAGTAGGGGGCTTAGTATAGAAATACCTCAGTCGTTTCTATAGCCTCTTGGGCAGCGGCTGAGGTATGTTACATTACATTTATTAGAGATCACCTTAAACTAACATCTATTGTAGTTTCACTTAGGTAAATAATACAGTCATTTCTATAGCCTCTTGGGCAGCAGCTAAGTTTCACATAGTTTTATTAGGTTATGAGCCCTGGTACGCAAAAGCTACACAGGAGATAATTTTTATTTGAAACAGCAACTCCGGAACCATGACCACAGCACATGATACATCCGCATGTCCAGTTCTCACTAGACCCAACAATTTTCAGATATGGAAACTCCGGATCATCTCAAAGCTGTAACAACCAAGAGTTAGTTACTCTGGCGCACACAAGAACACACTATAAAGAAGATGTTGAGGGAGTGGTTACCCCTTAAGCTGCAGAGAGTTTGTTGGTATACAACAGGAGGACTCGCTGAGGAGTCTCCTGGATCTATTGGGGTATATATACTACTACAGGTTGTTTGTACATGTGTACTATACAGTTGATGAAGGCAGTGGCTGATGATGTCATAGGGTCTAGCCCGTATGGCCAGCTCCACTGCGTGAGAGAGTTAAGTCTAAAAGTAAAAGAAAGGCAACGCGGCGCGAGAAAGGGAAATGCCGCGTGGTACTTAAAGTATAAAGTAAAAGCGGAGAATAAAAAGGAAAGGAGATGTCCGGAAATTGTGTTATCGTAACACTACCCCCCTTCTAAGGTTCGACTTCCAGGCGAGACCAAATTCCGGAGGTAGTGGTAAAATTTTCGGGCATAGGTTGAAAGAGGGAATTAAAAAGGTTTGAATCCATGCCTCTAAGCTTCCTGGGAGCTGAGGGATTCCTAGAATAAAATTTGCGAACAGCATCGCGGGAGTTTTCCAGATGGGATTCTGGTTCCCACGTTCTGTCCTCGTCTCCATAGCCCTTCCATAGGACCAGGAACTCTAATTTTCCCCGCTTCAAGTGTGCATCTACCACTCGTTCGACTTCGAACTCTTCTTCACCTTCTTGGGTGACTACCACCGGACCGGGCCGGTCTACGCGCTGTCCCGGCAGCGGTCCTTTGTAGGGTTTCACACGGCTAATGTTAACCGTGGGTACCACCCTCATTCGTTTTGGGAGTTCCAGCTCCACCGCATTAGGTTTGACTTCCTTAATCCGGTAAGGGCCAATCCACTTTTCGGTCAGTTTTCTAGACTGCCGGTCTTTTAATTTTAAGTGGTCGGTGTCTAACCAGACCAGGTCGCCGACCTTGTAATCAGGGGCCTTAGAGCGTCTACGCTCTGCCCTGTCTTTCATCTGCTCCGCAGTTTTAAATAGCGCTTTGCGCGTTTCGTCCAAGACAGACTTCATGTCTTTTGCCATGTTTCCAGCAGCCTCGTTTTTGCTTTTGCCAGGTTCTACACCCATTCTGGGGAGGTACGATCTAGTAACCTCGAATGGTGCCTTTCCTGTAGCCGACGACTGTTTAATATTATAAGAGAACTGGGCTATTTTTAGCCACTTGGCCCAATCTGTCTGTCTGTCGTTAATAAATATCCGGAGATACTGTTTCAACTCCTGGTTGAGTCTCTCCGTTTGTCCATCGGTTTGCGGATGGAACACCATGGATAATTTAGGTTTGATGCCCAGCATCCGGCACAATTCTTTCGTAAACTCGCTAGCAAATTGCGGTCCTCTATCGGAGATTACCGTTTCTGGTAACCCATGGATGGACCATACAAAATCCTTAAATAGGTCTGCCGTACCGGCGGCGGTGATGGTTTTGTTGGTGGGTATGAATACCACTTCTTTGGAGAAGCGGTCTACTACCACCATTACTGAATCGTACCCGTTTGACTCGGGCAGATCCGTCGTGAAGTCCACCGATATATCCTGCCAGGGGCCAGCTGGTATCGGATTTGGCATGAGTTTACCTGCCGGCGGTTGATGGGAATTCTTGGCCATGGCGCATCTCAGACAGGATTTTACGTATTCCTGTACGTCTTTGACCATGCCCGGCCACATGTAGTTTCTGGAGATCAACTCCATCGTTCGTTGCCATCCAGGGTGCCCAGCCACTGGAGTGTCATGATGTCTATCTATTGCCTTGATCCTTGCGGACTCAGGCACATAGATTTTGTTTTTGAAATGAAAGAGCTCGTCTTTCCATAAATAGTTTTCATTGCTGTCAAGGCGCGCCTTTTCCTCTGGGGAGATGTCTTTCCTGAAGACTTCCAGGAGAGCGGAATCTTGCCCGATTCTAACATTGGCAACCCTTGATTGATCTATCAGGGTGACACCTTTGTTGTCATCTTCAATGCCGTTGGCATGATCCTCTCTTCTAGATAAAGCATCCGCTTTCCCCATTGAGCTTCCTGGCTTGTGAATTAATTTATAATTGAACCTTGACAAGTACACCGCGTAGCGGGCTTGTCTCCGGTTCAGGTCTCGGGCCGTCATGAAGTACTCTAGGTTCTTATGATCGGTCCAAATTTCGAATTGGTGCCTAGCACCTTCTAAGTAGTGCCGCCAGTGCTCTAAAGCTCTAATGATAGCCAGCATCTCTTTGTCGTATATTTGATAGTTGCGCTCTGTAGGCGACAAACTATGCGATAAATAGGCACAAGGCCTCCAAAGATCATCAGGGCTTTTGATTGATAGAACAGCCCCAGTGGCGAAGTCAGAAGAGTCGGTTTCTAGCCGGAACTCTTTGTCTAATTCAGGGAATGCCAATATGGGCGCTGTTGTAAATGCCTGTTTAAGCTTATCAAAAGCTTCCTGTTCTTTGGCGCCCCAATGCCAAACAAGGTCCTTTTTGGTGAGATCGTTCAACGGTCTCGTGATTTTTGCGAAGTCTTCAATAAACCTTCGGTAGAAATTACCTAAGCCTAGGAAGGCCCTAACTCCTTTGACGCGAGTAG